TTTGAGGTTGCTGTGAGCTAGGCTGACGCCACGGCACTCACTCTAGCCCGGGCAAAAGAGTGAGACTCTGTCTCAAAAAAAAAAAAAAAAAAAAAAACCCACAATGAGATACTACCTCACACCTACCATTGCTCAAAGAACAGAAAACAACAAGTGTTGGCAAGGATGTGGAGAAAATGGAACCCTTGTACACTGTTGGTGGGAATGTAAAGTGGTCCAGATGCCAAGGAGAACAGTTTGGTAGTTCATCAGAAAATTTAAAACAGAATTACCATATGATCCAGCAATTCCACTTCTGGGTATATACTCCAAAGGACTGAAAGCAGGGTCTCAAAGTGGTATGTGTACACCAAAAAGTGGAAGCAACCCAAGTGTCCACCAGCGGATGAATGGATAAACAAAATATGGTATACGCATACAACGGAATATTACTCAACCTTTAAAAAAAAAGAAATTCTGACACATGCTACAACATAGATGAACCTTGGGGACATTATGCTAAATAAAAAATGCCAGTCACAAGAAGACAAATGCTGTATGCTTCCTTTTATATAAGGTACCTAGAGTAGTCAAATTCATAGAGGTAGCCAGGGATTGTGGGGAGGGGAGAAAGTTGGTGTTTAATGGGTATAGAGTACCAGTTTTGCAGGACAGTTCTCTAGGTGGGTTGGACTGATCCAGTTCTCTGCTCTTTCTTGCTTGCAGTTCTCCAGAATAACTGCAGAATGTGCAGGGAATGCAACATCCTGAGATAAGTGGGGAGCTAGCTGGAACAGCTTGGGCTTTGTTCCAGTGCTCCGCCCCATAACAGGATGACCCTCAACACATCAGCTCAGTGAGTCCTGCGACCCCACGGTATATAACCCAGGACAGCTGTCTTTCATGGTGCCTCATCTGTAGTGCAAGTGGGGGACATGCAGATGAGATTCCATCCACCCCAGGCAGCTTTCTGAGCCTTGAGGGGCTGGCTCACAATGAGTCATAGACTTCTGTTGTCCCTTGCTGCCTATCTGTAAGTAATAAATCTGCTTCGTGTAACTTGCTGCATATGAGTGTGTTCTGTCTCACAGGGCTCTGACAAGTTGGTAACCAGTGCACAGTGAATCTGCTTCACAGTTTTGCAAAATGAAAAGAGTTCTAAAGATTAGTTACAGAGCAAATATACATAAGACTACTAAACTGCACACTTAAAAATGGT